GTGTGTGTGTGTGTGTGTGTGGTGGCAGCAGAGATGAGAAACTGAAGCTAGGTTGTTAAGTAGAGGCAAGATCACAACAGCCTTAAGATCATATTAAGGAGTTTGAGACTTATCTCCAGGATAATGGGGAGTTATTCCAGTACCTTTAGCACACAAATGACAGAAGCAGATTCATGCTTCAGGAAGATCCCTCGGCTGCAGGAGGGAGACAGGTTGGAAAGGACAAGGCGGGGCCCAGGAGGGCAGTTAGGACTCGAAGTAACCTAAGGACCAGCATTTGGAAATAGTGAAGAATAATTCTAAAGACCATTTGGAAGAATACATGAGTGAAGAACAGACATGACTCCTTCCAAGCCCCCTGCTCCCTGTCCCAACCAAGATATTAAATTTATTTTAAAACTACTGTGCAGCACAGAAATGGTACAGATAGATCAATGGAACAAAAAGTTAAGAAATAAGCCTAAAAATAAAATAAATTCTAGATGAAGTAAAGGTTTAAATGTACTAAATATAAACAAGTAAAGACTATTACTAGGCAATTCACAAAAGAAAAAAAGCAGATGCTAAATAAACATAAATACCAATTTTTACCCAGCAGAGTGGCAAGGGTTAAAGAGGTTCAAATATCTACAGACAGTGAGATTATGGCAGGGAAAAAGACCCTCTATTCCATTGATGGGAGTGTACAAAATAGGCATAGCCCTTCTGGAAGACAGTCTAACAGTATGAATCAAAACCTCTAAAATGTACATTCTGTGTGACTCAAAAACTCCATTCCTAAAGATTTATCCTAATGAAATAACTGAACAGGTACTCAAACGTATGTACTATGACAGTAGCAACGCTTTGAATGACAATGATATTAATGACAACCAAAATGTCCTGTGACAATGAAATACTATAGAGCTATTTAATGTAAAGATACAGAACTACTTTAATGATGTTGCTGTGGGTTGATTGAATTGTGTCCCCCAAAGTTCATATATTAAAAGGTTAATCCTCACTGTAACTGTTGATGGTAGGAAATCCTATTATGGTAATTGAAAGGTGGGGCCTTGGAGAGGTGATTGGATTGTGAGGACTGCACCCTCATGAATGGATTGACCCATTTTTGGAATAGTGGGTGTGGTTCTGAGGGCTTTAAAAGGAGAGGGCATGAGGAGCTCTCTCTCTCTCTGCTCTGCCATTTTCTGCCATGTGAGACAGAAAATGCTATAAAGCCACCATCAAGAAGACCCTCACCAGATGTGCTCCCTGGACTTTGGATGTCCCAGCTTCAGAAACTGTAAGCAATAAATTTCATGTTCTTACAAATATCCAGTTCCAGGTATTTTGTTATAAACAACAGAAACAGACTAACACAGATGTGAAATGTTATTCACAAAACATTGGTATGTGAATAAGCAAGGATATAGAACAGTGGGGATAGTACAATTCCATTATATATATTTGCATAGAAAAAGAGGGAAATTTATGTAGAACTAGTAACAGCAGTTTTCTCTGTAGTTGGGATTGCAATCGTTTTCTGTCATATTCTTATGCATTTGCTGAATTTCCTTTATAATCAGAAAAAACAAAAAGTAGAAACTCTATTTTCCTTTACAAAGAAGTACCAAAAATAACACTGATGATGGAGTTAATCACTCAAGAGGACCCAGGAAAGAGCAACTGCCTGTATCACATACCAAGTCATTAACAACAGCCACCTACACAGCTTCTTCTCTGTGGATTCAAGGAGGAAAACTGACACAGAAAAACTTTCTGCCACCAAACCTCAAAAGAAAATTGAAAATCCTTGTCAGAAAACCAGCAGTTGTACCAAATAAATTACAATATATTTTGCACTTCAATTGCGTAGATAATGTATACACTTAAACCATATTTTCACACTCAGTCTCTACCTCATGCCTGCCCATCTATCAAACCGTGTCAAATATTATAACCAGACAACTTAGCATAAAGAAACTCAGTTTTCTCTTATGTAGTGCTATGTCTTACTGGTACTTACAAGTATGTTTTTTCACTTATGAAATAAAAAGAAGTTGTTTCATCTATTCTAACCATGCATATCAAGTATAGTATATAATAGTATGGTAAATGTTTTCATAATAGTCTAAAATTAATAATGATCAATTCCACCTTACTTTTGAAATGTATAGTTTTCCAATATTCTTTTGTGTACACTAACATATAATCTTAAAAAGGCCATGTTTAGTGGATGTGCAGGCATTTTTAGTAGGAGTTGCAGTAGCAGTAACAGTATTGGCACTAGTATCTCTACTGATGTAGATGAGTTACTATCAGAGAAGTTTATTTTCCCAGTGGTTTCAGTCAATCGACCACAAGTTCAGATTCACACCAAGTTTTGGTTTTATGATGGTTATTTTTCAGCCTCTACAAATAACATTTTTTTAAATGAGAAATACTGAAATACTGGAATGGATAAATTTTATTTTTCTGCCATCTACATAATGTAGAATTCTAAAATTATGAAGCTCATACATGTGAATCTCCTTATCTTATTGACAGAACACTAAATAAGCCCAGGGAGAATAAGTGGCTCTACTGATGCCCAACTGTCACTAGCTGAGTGGGAACCAGACCTCAAGTTGCCTGACCTTTATTATAGTGTTCTTTTCATTGTGCTACAGAAAGAATGTGAGGACCCTATATCTGCAGCAATTTACACTGTTTTCTCATTCATTTAGTTCCCATAATAACCATGTGAAGTGAGTATTATTATTATTATTGTAATTGTTATTATTCCCCTTTTATTAAGGGTTAACTTTGGCTTGCAGAATTTAAGTGACTGTGTAAACTTTTAGTCACAAAGCCCAAGGCTTTAGACTCCAATGCCAGAGCTTTGCCTCTCTGAAATCAATGCCGGAATGTGTTTTCTTTAATTATCTCTCAATTCAAAGGAATCCATTGCTGAAGAAGTTTTAGAACCATAAAAGTATATAACAATCTAAAAAGATTCACAGATTGCAAGACAATTATTTTCCAAGAAAAAATATCTATTGCATATATCCTCGAATCCATTGCTGAAGAAGTTTTAGAACCATAAAAGTATATAACAATCTATAAAGATTCACAGATTGCAAGACAATTATTTTCCAAGAAAAAATATCTATTGCATATATCCTCTCAAAGCATCAGCTTTCTACAGATAATTAAAAATTGAACTCAGAGAATAATGAGAGCTTACCACTGTTTGGCCTAGCAAGAAATTCAAGAGGACTCTGATCCAGGTTAACCTTTGTATCATTAATATCAGGAGGCTCACAGCTTAAGTGAAAATCATCAATGTAAGCATCTAGGGCTTCGGAGGCAGAGAAATATGGCTTTTCTTTATACTGGATGGAACCATCAGTATTAAAGGAGATGCTGTTCAGGATTAAAGTTGCTGGAAGACAAGGTTCAGAAGTGCTAAACTGATGTTCCTTAACTGACTTTGCCATGACTTTCTGAAAATGGGCTGCAATGTCCATTCATCTTTGAAAAAACTCTAAACATAAAAAAAGTTATACACGATTTCAGTTACATAGGAATGGATGACAATACTCATGGAATCCTTGCTAATCTTTCATCATGTGTAATTACTTTTTACAGACGAAGTTACTCTTTATTCCCCTTTATACTTTACATAAACTAAGCTTTCAAGCAATGTTTGTTGATTGACAGATGCTTAGTTTCATTGGCATAGCTACAAGTGTAAGCAGTACTTTAGAAATAATTAGAGAACTCAGAATATAAGCCTTGCTAGGTGAAGCATAAAGTAGAGATGTTGTTTTCCTTTGTTTTCAGTTTTAATTGATTGAATAAATAGTTCTGGAATCTTGAGATATTTTTATTTGATACATTAAAACAGGGCAAGCCTCTTGAATCACATCCTAGTTTTTATTCCCTACATCTGCCCCTGACCCATTGACAAGACAGGGGCATGTATGGAGAAAAGTGAGAGGAACAGGAGGCCCTGGCACAATAGCGATGGCAAATAAAGATCAGGGAGCAAGAAGAGGTGTGTGCTGGAAGAAGGAGAACTTAGTGGAGAATGATGGGTCCTCTGATCTCTGCCACTCCAGCCTTGGTGCAAGAATTCAGTAGCTGTAGACCTTTTTATTCCCACCTTATATCAATCACTTACTCTTCACAAAAAGTATAAAAGGTTGGTACTATTAGTACATTATTTCCCAGATGAGAAAATGGTGGTACATGGAGATAAAGGAACTTGTCCGTATCTATAGAGTTGGTAAGCAACAGCCAAGGTTGAACCCCAAGAGTGGATCCCGAGCTTGAACTTAACCACTGTGCTAGACCACCGCCTCTCATGTGCTGGAACTTCCCATACGACCTGTGGTCTCTAAATGTTTGCCACAGCTAGCATGCAGTAATGTCTACCAAAAGTTGGGTGCCTAAGTTCTGTAGTCTCTAATTTCTCTAAAATGCTTAGAGTATTCACTGATATGGTGGGGGAGCAATGTCATTCATTTGATAATAATATAAGTACCAAAGAGTAAGTACTCACTTTTTCAGTCCTTTGAAATTCAAGTGGATATGTTGTATATTCAGAGTGTTACATTATATGACATCATAATACCTTACTTTCCTCGAATGTGATGAAGGTACACAGAGGCCTTTGGGAATCAGAAGAAAACTATGAATCACCTTCCCACAAAAAATGCACTTTGGCAGACAGACCATGGGTTCTAGGATTCCTGAAGCTTGTTCATAGTCCTCCACATCTGAACTCTAGATTAACAACGTTTGTCAACAGAAAGTGATCGATGTGGGAAGAAACGAAGGGAGAGAAGGCTGGCTAGGAAAAGAGAAATAAGAAGATCTTGGCAGACAGACCATGGGTTCTAGGATTCCTGAAGCTTGTTCATAGTCCTCCACATCTGAACTCTAGATTAACAACGTTTGTCAACAGAATGATCGATGTGGGAAGAAACGAAGGGAGAGAAGGCTGGCTAGGAAAAGAGAAATAAGAAGATCCTCATTAGGGATGGAACCAGTCATCCTGATACCACATATTCTTAGAGATATGATGATAAAATACCTCTCACTTTAACGGCCCCCTCAAAAGGTACTCCTCTGTAAATCATGATCATGATTCCTCCTCTTCCTTCTCTGGATTTGTCAATATGAATTAGTTACTATTTCAGATGAAAGACAATGGGCTTTGGAACTAGGGAGACAAGGATTAAACTGAGTTCTTGTATTAGCTGTGTGCCTCAAATCCCTTCCCTAATATGTGATTTTTTCATTTTTAATTCTGCTTAATAATACTTAGCTTATGGGGTGGCTGTGTTTGATCTCCTGCTGCTTTGTACCTGGATGGCCATATCAGGACTAAGATACTGAAATACTTACCAAGTAGCTGGTAAAAGCTGTTGTCCTTCACCCAATCCTGTCCTTCTCCCACCAGCGCCTTCTTCCTACCCAGACCCTGGCCCATCTCACCCCGAAACCCTCAGACTCAGCATAAGGCAGCAACTTAAGGGTACTGTCTGGCTCTGCAGGGCCCCGCTCCAGGCTGTGGCCAATGTCCATTCTGACCAGTTGGCGATGGGCCCTACAGATGGTTAAATGTTGGGAATACCACCCCTCAGCAGCTGTGGTATGCATGAGTGTTTTTCCTCTCCTCATCCTGCATATTTAGCATGGTTAGACCTATAGGATAGCTGGGTACTTGTCTTCCCTCTCTAAGCTCAAACAAAATAAGGAATGGATGGGTATCCTTAGTTTTCAGCCCATGGCAGCTGCTGGATAAATGTTTGCTGAATCAAATTTCAGCCAAAACGTTCTTTTCACCATAAAGCATTCCAGTGTGATTACTGCAGTCATGAAAATGTTTTGAAAGATTGAGTACTTTCGGTTTATTAGTAGCTGCTGAGAAGCAATAAAACAGGTGAACAGAGTAATGTATTCAATTCAAGGATCTAATCACAGAATGGCTGAATGCACAGAGCAAGAAGTTGAGAGTCACGTGAGATTATCACCCATGCTGGTGATATGTTAGAGGTTCATTTATGGCAAATCTTCAGCACTGAATGCCAATGGGCATCCGCAGCTCAAAGTCTAGTATTAATTGGAGATTTCATGATGTTTTTCTCTGTCCACCCAGTTGCATGAATAACACAGTAAAGGAAACTTGATAATTAAAAATTTGTAAAACAAGCCAGAAAATCAATGTGTAAGATATGTCAGTGTCCCTGATAATTAAACACTATTTATAAACTTAGGTTTATTTTGTGACCTTCATCTCATATACATTGCAAAGCATAAATTCATTCTTTTGGTTTTTCACTACGTAGATTCACAGGGGGCTAAGCAAAGAAGGAAATGAATTCTTGCAGTTTAAAAAGCAAGACCACCATATGCAATAACTAAGAAAAGAAAAAAGAATCAATACATGTCCTAATTATAAAATGCAGATTGTCTGGATATTTCCTCCAGCAATTTCATGTTTGAAGTTGGCCTGGTTCAATTCTCTTTGATAGCATTTTAAAACTATATATTTATTCTATAAATCCTTCAGGGTGAACCTTCTACCAGAAGGCAACCCAATTCCTGAGGAATACATATTACAAATGGAAGGCCTAGAGAAAGCCATCAGCACTGTATCTTTCATCACCTTAGGCTAAATCAGACTCAGTCAGATAAGCTGAGTCCCTCAAGCCTGGGGCAGAGAGAAAGGTCCAGAGATGTGCACTAAATTCAGTTTCCCTCTCTCATTCAATTCAATTAAACACACAGTTACTGACTGCCAATGCGCAAAGAACCATGCTAAGCACCTAAGCACTGTACAGGGATACACTGATGGAGCAGACATTATTTCCCTCAAGAGGAGCTTACAGCCCAGCAGGAAAGATAAAAGCGGTACATAAATGGATGTAACCCAAGGAAGGGCAGGCTAAAGGCCATTGAGAGCCCCCAAGAGTGGCTGGAACACAAAGAAGAGAGAAATTACTTGTTTGGTGGAATTGGGGAAGGTTTCGTTTTAGACATGATATTGCAACTAGGCCTTGGAAAACAGGTAGGTTTCTGACACACGGAAATGAGGAAAGTGATTATTCCAGAAAGAAGGAGCAACATCACCAAAGGCATTAGACAGAAAAACCACACACACACACACACACACATATAATACACACACACACGCACACACACATATAACACACACGCACACACACACACACACGTACGTGCGCGCGCACACACACACACACGGAAGATAGCAGAGTTCCTTGGGTTGTGAGAGAAGAGGCTGGAAATACTGGGTTATGAACCAGAGGCGGTGATTTTTAGGGGTAGGTATCGTATCTACTTTAGAAAAGAGGAAAACTGAGCCTCAGAAAGCTTTTAAAGAGCTCTAAAAGAATGCTCAACATCACTCAGCATCCGGGAAATGCAAATCAAAACCACACTGAGATACC